CCCGCCTAAAAAGTCTACTCATATCTAGCCTGGTTCCCTTGATATTGGGACCAAACTGTCGAGAATGGATGACTTTGCTCCTTGGGTACCTGTGCGGACCACACTTCCTTATATCCTGACCATTCCTGATCGAGCTTAGGTTTAGGACATAGAGAATGTGGCCACTCCTCCTCCTGACCACTCAGTTTCTGGCTTCCTTGTTTCTAATAGCGTGGTTTGCACTGTCAGACACGAGAAGTACGTGAACAGGTGGTCTATCATACCGGATCTCTCGAATCCGAAATGATTCGAAGCCCGGTTCTATAAGCTTAGACCATATTGGGATTGGGCTGGAGGCCCAATATGTGTTCTAATTTGGTCTAGGAGGCCGTACCTGCAAAAAAGCCATGGACGTTACGTGCAAACACTCGATTCGTCCACGTAGAAAGAATTGAATTTATCCCCATAATTAACCATAAACAATTTTTCTAAATAAATTAGAGGTTTTATTAACTTTAATCAGTTACTTTTTTAATTTTGTAGTTTATTTTTCTCTTATATATTATTATTTTGATTTGATTAGTTTCCATTTAAAAAAAAAAAAATTTGTTAGTTGTTTCTATTTAAATTAAATAACTAAAAAAATTTTTAAAAAATATTATTATTATATTGATATATGTCATAATCTAAAATACCATTGACACATCTCACATTTCGATGAATATAATTATCCTATATGTCATGTTTATGTTGTGCGCGTTCATCTTTATATAATAAAATTTCCAAACATATGATATGTGTTTTAACCTATTATAGTTTTTTGTCACTAACGTTTCAAAAATCCAAATCAGGATACTAAGTTTACATAAATAATATCTAAGGGGTAGAAACAAGCACTTTGTGTTAATTAGTCTATCTTTATGTTGTTTGTGCATGGAATGAAATAAATAGAAAAAAAAAAGTAAACACTACCTTATTCTTCACGAATTCCTCTAGATATAATGCAAAACCTTGCCACTGCTCATATGTAAACACCATATTCACCAACTTGGATCAGTTTATTGCAAAAACTATCATTCTCTTTGGATTTGCAATCATGCAATGCATCATCCATAAAATTAAAAATTAGAAGCCATTGTAATTTTAATTTTAATTTTTGATTATATTACAAATAAATGTTACATGAAATAAAAAAAAATATTCAGCAAAAATTTCAAAATGTTTACATTTTTCTTTTTAAAAAAATAAACTAAGTGCATAGAATTAACAACCAAAGGAAAAAAACAGGTAAAAATGTATACAATTAACTAAACAATTACATAATCATAAATTAATAAATTTAAAATTTAAAAAAAGTCAAAAAATTAAATATATACATATCTTAATCAGAGAGAATCATTTGAGTTAATTACATGATTCAAAAAAAAATTATAACATTAAATAATACAAGTAATTTAGTTACTGTTTAATATGTCTGTGTCTAGTGAAGATTTCAAAGTTTGATGGTATTCAATGAAGATTTCAAAATTTCAAATATCTCATTAAAATCCACTGTTTTCAAAACTAAATATTTTTTTATCTCTTTGAGTCATATCAAATAAATTCATATAGCATTTTATGAGTAATTATTAGAAACAAAATCTAAAGTATATTGCATAGATTTTAGAATCTACATAATTCTTCAATGATATCAATTATTAATTCTTGATGATTATAAAACTTAGAAAATTCTCTTTAAATGCATGATTGAATAACACCCAAGTTTTATCAATTGATAATAAATTTTGATGTGTCTCTTTAATACTTTAAACTAGATGAATACCCGCATATACACGCAGGTTTCTTTGTTAAAATATATTTTAATCTGACAAATTAGTTAATTATAGTAAAAAAATTTAACCATCCCTATTACATAGAAACTGAAGATTGTAGTAAGAAAGTTTACTCATCTTTTATCCTCAAAATGTTCTTTCAGAATTCAGGTTCTTTCTGTTTTGATGAAATCTTGTTTCTATTTGTGCCTCGTGAAGCTAATTCTAAGGCTGAATACACTGGCAAAAACATTGTCTCAGAGTCTTTTGAGAGACTCAAAAGCTAAACCGGTTGATTTAGTCTCAATGAATGAATTAATCTTTGAACAAAAGTGTTTTCCTTTTGCCAGAACTCCATTTGGTCTCCTCGTGCATACTCGTTCATGAACAAAATGGTATAATTACAATCTGGATCAATTTCTCCTTCACCATTTTGAAAGAGGACACACAGCAAATTAAGTTAACTGAGAAATCAATAAATGAATCTATACAATAGTTTCCTATAAGCATTAATATTTAATTGAAGTAACAAATAAAACTTGGGCATAATTCGAAAGGTGGACGGTCCATACAAAAATAACCTTCTTATATGGTGACGCTACAAAGAAAAATATTCTTTCTACAATGGATCCATGATTCAACATATTCTTAATTGTTTTTTATTTTCTGGCTAACTTGATACATATATTGAAATTTCCCATCAACATATTTGATCATGAACAGAACTTGAGGTCATTTGACCAACCTTATTTGCAAAACATGGAAGCTTTGAATTTGTTCTACAATTTCACAAATATTTACTCGAATTTATTTTGCTTAGTGTATGGATGTGTGTATGATAAACCTATCGAAAACCAATATTTATTTAAATCTCTAAATATTTAATTTTAACCATTTAAATAATTAACTATTTTATTACACATTTAAATATCAAACTTTGAGTTGACCAAACTATTTTAGTCCTGGAGTTAGACAATACAAACACCATGTTAACTCTGTAATTAACCATTAAATTTCTTGTTGACTCTTCAACAGTGTCGTTTTAATGAAAAATATAATCTATAATTCAAAACAAAGTCCATTATTCAAGACAATATTTTTTAAACCCTTTAAAATCATCCTCTTTTCTTCGCCTTCTTTAAATCCAATTGTAATTTTTTTATTTTGAAATATAAATTTCATATATATGAATGAGAGTACAATGGTTCTGTATATAATGTATCGTTCACATTTTCAAATGTTTATCACAACCAAAAGTTATTTTAGCTCACAATAAAGCATTTAAAAGAAAAAAGGAGAGAATGACAAACAAACAAAAAATGATTTAACAGTTCCATTTTTTAGCACATTTCTTTGCCTTTCATCGTATTGTATCAGTTCTTTGAATATACAATTCAATTGAAAAACATATTTGAACGTAATGTAATTGGAACAACATTTGGACTCCCAAACTAATACAACAACATCTACTTCGAAGCAACAAAATTTTTCTATTTTTTTTTTTCAGTTTCTCAATGGTATTGTTGGACTGGTTAATTTTTCCCTTTTAAGTTAGAAATTTGTTTATGTGAATTGATGAGTTAAAGATTTTCAAAGTATTTATCGTCTTTTTATTCCAAAATTCTGATCCATGTGGCACCCTATATAGCACAAGTTTCCTAGTTTTTTTTAGTTTTTATTACGATCAACCATTTGAAATACACATAATTTAAACAATGAATTAATATATAAAGTATCCAAGACTCGCAAGTTATGAATTATATATTCTGTATCACCAATAAGGCAATAACTCCCACTATTACAAGTACAATATCAACCTCTTATCCATCAGCAGCTTAGGCGAACTTCTGTTTTGATTACTATCAACTTTTATCATCTGCAATCACTAATGAAAAATCAGAGTCACCAAAAACAAACTTGAAAATATATAGCCTTAAATATCCTAAATTAACAGTTTTGAGAAATTGACCAATACTTTAAAAGGGCAAACAAGCAAACTAACCAACCAATAGATCAATATATATTTATCTATGCAACAGTTTCTTATAAAGCATACATATCTAATTGAAGTATAGTTTCTATGTTGATCCAGTCGATGAAAGTATTGCACCATTCTCTAAACCTATTTGAAGATCAAGAATTGCTTTCGAACCATCATGTAAGATTGTGTTTGACCTAAGTGATCAATCTATTTTCTCCATGATCGCCTAAAATTGTTTTTTTGTGACACTTAAGTAATGATCTCCTCATTCTTTTATTGTCAGCCTTAAAAAAAAATATGACTTTTTATTCAATTTAGTATGTATATAGATGTCGGAATTTGAAAATATGATTTACCGAGGTAGAGGTAGCTCCATTCAAAGGTAGAAGAATTCATCACCGTTTCACCTTTCTTCATTTCTCTACAATCACATTACTTGCTTCACACAGGTTTCAGGTGTCAGTTACTCACATGCTTGTAAGTGAGTAGAGATTGGATAAATAAAGTATGAAAGTTTGAAAGAAAGAAAAATGTCTAAGACGTCTTCTTAGAAAGAGAGAAAGGTGAGTAACACAACTTAAAGAGGCATATTAAATGAAGAATGGAAGTTGGAAATGTGAAATTTTACTGGTTTTCTGACCAAGAATTTTGTGAAGTGCAAATATTATTTTTAAGAAATAAAACATAATATTAATATGATTTTATCTAGGCTGATGTGTCAAAATGGTAGATGCTGATATGTCAGGTTTGTAATACTCAACTGAGTTTTTATATAATAGATTCTACTATATGTTATCGTTTAAATTTTAAAGAATTGTTGTCAATTAAGAATACTTAACAAGATCCTAACAATATCACTCATGATTTTATAAGTTCTTGTTTGTTATCGTTTTTAAAAATTTCTAAATATCTTTCATGTTTGAATAACACCCAAATTTTATCAATTAAAGATTATAAAACTTAGAAAATTCACTTTAAATGCATGATTGAATAACACCCAAGTTTTTTCTGGCATCTATTTAATTATATTTTACTTTCATTACTTTTATTCATCAATATTATTAAATGTCATTTATTACGTTCTTATCTGTTTCCTTAATTCCTAATTAATTTTATGAGATTTCTAATGCCAAATCTCATAAATCTACTCCATCAGAATCGTTGACTCTGAGATACCATATCACATATACCCTATATATGATGTTCACGAGTACAATACAATTACATTACACCCATCGTTTTTTATTTTAAATTTTTCATCTCAATTTTATTATCGTTAAAAATGACTAAATCCACTGTTCTTGTTATCTTCATGGTAGTTCTCGTTCTAGGTTTGCTCTACACTTCAAAAATATCAAATATTTTCCACATTTATTCTCTATTATTTGATTGTATTCGTTCATCATCTTTTTATTTGTAACGAAAAAATTGAAAGGATATTAATATATGTTATAAATATATTTATATTAGGGATGGTGGCAAAAGAGACACAAGGTCAAGAAAGGTGTCATGAGTATATGACAGGAACAGGACCTTGTGAAATTAACCAATGTGTCGATCAGTGTACGGCGAAGTGGAAAGGAAGAGGAACGTGTATGCCATCAAGCAAGACTTGTCTCTGCACTTTTAATTGCAATAAATAAGTTTTTTTGGTTAATCTATAAAGTATCATCAAATATAATTAATAAAATAATGAATTGAAACCAAAAAACAAATATTGCAATTTTTTCTAGCGTTTATTTATGGGTGGTTAGTAGAGTAGACGATAAACAATATAGTTACTATTATCTTATTTTGCATTTAAAAACAGTTAATTATTCTAGATTTTTTTATAAAAAAAATTATTCTAAATTTATAAAATTTAGAAAATCAGATATTAACGAAGAATAGGACAAAATTGGATAAATACAGTTTAGGTACCAATCAAAGTAGTTTTAGGTATAACCAAATTAGATACTCCCTTTGTTTCATTATAGTTAATTTTCTAGGTTTTTTTTCTTATTTCATAATAGTATTTGATTTTCTACATTTAATTAATACATGTCTCTTCTTTAAATTGAATAAATAATATTAATGTATATTGCTTTACTCCATTAATGCACAGTTAAAAAAGAAAAAGTAATAATAAAATAATGAAATCATTTGTAAAAATAACTTAATTAACAAAAATAAACAGTAAATAATTGAACATTTATAGCTTTCTTAATCTGTGTGTAAATATTCAGAAAATCAACTATAATGAAACAGAGGGAGTAGTTGATTATATTAATATGTACCTACTCTAATAAGTAGACAATTACTATCAGATACGGTAATAAAGAGAGAGAAAAAAGAGCGGAAGAGAGAGAGTGCAAAAGATGAATTTCTAATTAAAGAATAATAGAATGTACAAAGTGTTTGTTTATACTGTATATCATATTAAGTTAGCAACAACTTATGCCAGTTCAGCATATTATAATAGCCCCCCCCCAACCAAGCTTTTAATTCCTGCTGTCCTCATGAAGATAAAGGCTTGAAATAGACATCCACTGGAATAAGGAAGTGAACACAGCAGGTTGCAAAGATTTGGTGAGAATATTGGCCAAGTTATTCGCAGAAGCCACATGCAACGTGTTCAAGAAACCAGTCTTTAACTGATCCCGGACAGTGTGACAGTCCAGCTCCACATGTTTGGTGCGCTCATAAAAGACTGGATTCGAAGCGATATGAAGTGCAGACTTACTGTCACAGTACAGAGTAGCAGGAAGCTCAATAGAAACCTTGAACGCATCAAGAAGCTGTTAAATCCAGAGAAATTCCTTGGTGGCATTAGCCATGCTACGATATTCGGCCTCAGTGCTACTAGCACTAACCACTTGCTGTTTCTTTGATTTCCAAGAGATCAAAGAGCTACCAACAAACACGCAGTACCCAGAAACGGAACGACGAGAGTCAGGGCAAGCTCTCCAATCAGCATCAGCAAACACACACAGATTCAAGTCAGAAGTAGGAGAATATAAGAGACCATGACCAGGATTAGCTTTAAGATATCAAAGGATCTTCAATGCAGCTTGATAATAAACATCAATCGTTTTGAAAAGATATTGACTAAGCTTGTTCACTGCAAAAGTGATGTCAGGTCTAGTTATGGTAAGGTAAAGCAAGCGGCCAATAAGCTCTCGATAAGAAGTAGCAGAATCCAGAGGAGTTCCATCCGTGATGCTTAGTTGAACCGTCGGATCCATTGGAACAGAGCTAGGTTTGCATCCCAATAGGCCAGCATCCTCAATCAATGAAAGAGCATATTTGCGTTGGCAAACTGAGATACCCTTTCTAGACCTTGCGATTTTCAAACCAAGGAAGAAACGAGGAGAAACCATGTCTTTTATCTTGAAAGCTTGATGAAGAACCTTTTTTAGATCAGAAACGGCTCCATCATTGTTGCTTGAAATCAAGATGTCGTCCACATAGACCAATACAGCAATAAAGACAGAGTCTCAAAGTTTCACAAAGAGAGTATTATCTACATGGGATTGCTCCAGTCCACTTCAGATCCTTTATGGCTTGTTGAAATGATTTTGGTTCTGTTTCCGAGGTGAAGGCAAGGATAATATCTTTGTAGTAGGGAGAGATATTGTCGTAAGATATTACGGAGGACAAGGGATATGGTGTGGTGTGTTTAGGTGGTGTAGTGAAAACAGTGGACTGGGTAAGGTAACAGTGATACTCGGTCAGATAACTAGGTGCCTTAGTCGATCGCTTAGGCCTACCATTGTTCAAAGACACTAAACTATTATCGGTATCAGTCTCATTGTTTAAAGGTGTGGTACTAAGGGATGCAGGCGGTTGAGATGCAGGTGGATCAGATGATAAATGCAAGCTAGTATGAGATGGTGGTGATGATGAAATAGGTAATAAAGAAGATGAATGCATTGCAGGATCTGGAGAGAAAGTATGCGAAGATGATGCATCTGCAGGAGTAGAAGTGAACAATGCGGGAAGTGGTAAAATGGAAGAATGAAACAGATCCGTATGAACAGATGATGAATCTTTGAAAGGAAAAACCTTTTCATGAAAAAACCACATCACGAGAAATGGTAACTTGGTTTGTATCTAAATCAAGGACTTTGTAACCTTTGTAGTTAACAGGATATCCAATGAAAACACAGGCACGTGCACGAGGTGAAAGTTTTGTCCTAAACTTTGGTAAGGTAGAAACATAACAGAGACATCCAAATGTGCACAGGAAATCATAGTTAGGTTCTTTACCAGTAAGCATTTGAAATGGGAATTTATTGTTTAGAACAGGTGAAGGCATACGATTAATCAAGAAGGCAGTAGTAGAAACACAATCAAACTAGTAAACTAATGGCAAATTCGATTGAAACAGGAGAGCACGAGCAACAGTAAGGAGATGTTGGTGCTTACGCTCCACAACTGAGTTCTGTTGTGGAGTGTCAACACACGAATAAAAGTGAAATATGACTTTACTCTTTAAGAAATCAATAAATGAGAGTTCAAGTGCATTGTCAGAACGAATGGATTTAACAGTTGCTTGATACTTTCAACAAGATGAATAAACGATGGAAAAATAAAATGAACATCAATTTTATTAATCATCATGTAAACCCAAGTAACCCGGGTACAGTCATCTACAATTGTGAGGAAATAACGAAAACTATCTACAGACTCTTGAGGAAAGGGACCCCAAACATCTAAATGAATCAACTCAAAAGGAATCTTAGACATATTATTGTGAGATACAAACGGAAGACGCTTCTGTTTAGCTAAGGGACAGACAGAACAAGAAAGATCCCTATGAAAACTAGATGTGGAGAAAGAAAGTTTGGAAGACAACTGAGTAAGCTTGGCCAATGGCGGATGTCCAAGGCGGTGATGCCAAAGATATCCATCAACGACTAAAGAATCACAAAGATTGGTTGATGAAGCAGGTAAATCCAATGTATGATCAAGTATGTATAGCCTATGATGAAGAGTGCCTTTACCAATCGTCAAGACACGAGTAAGGTCCTGAATGATGCAGAAATCAGGATAAAAATGAGCAGATGCCATGCTATGATGCAGAAGAGTGCATACGCTAGTGAGATTAAACTAAAACAAGGGACAAACAAAACATCATGCAATGTCAATGATGGATTTAAATGTATGGTGCCTATTATGTTCACTACAAGAAAAACATCATTTTACAACAGCCAAAATGGTCGTTATTTCGTCGTAATAGGGCTATTACGACGGACTATCGACGATTTCAAAATCGTCGTAAACTCATCGTCGTAATAGAAAAATCGTCGTATAATTTACGACGGTTACGTTTCGTCGTAACATCGAGGGAAAAAGATCGTCGTAAATGCGTCGTACAGCTTACGACGATTTTACATCGAATTGCGTCGACTTGGTCTTCGCCTGGACCGTCGTTAATAATCGACGTAAGATCGTCGTAAAATATACGACGCAAAAATCGTCGTAAATCAATTGTAAAGTATTTAATCATTTCGTCGTAAAATTGTCGTAAAACAAGGACGTATAATCGTCGTATTTGTCGTCGTACATTTTGGTCGTAAATTCGTTGTACTATTTACGACGAATGTACGATGGTTTTATAAAATAATAATAATTATATTACGACGATTATACGACGTTTAATATAACTGAAAATTAAAAAAAAAATTTAATTCGAATTAAAAATTAAATTAAAAAATTTACAAAAAAACCCTACAGCTCTAAATCTAAATCTACATCAATATCGTCGATCCCGTCACCGGCCTGCTCCCCATCGTCCTCGACATGTTCCTTGCCGGGTCTTCGGTTAGATGCTTCCGCCGGCGCCTGATCTCCGGTTCTAGGAGGATCAACCCCGAGAGACCGAAACATCTCCTCGTCCGTCTGCACCGGTGGTTGCCTCCTAGAAGATGACCCGGCAGACGATCCGTCAACTCCATCAGCCCGCAGCCTGTCCAACTGCGCCATCAACACCGGGTTGTCGGCTCCCATGATCTCGAAGAGACCGTACAGCTGGTCGATCTTCGTCTCGTAGTGGGTCCGCATCTGGTTGATCTCCTGGCGGATAACCGGTTCCGGGGCCCGGACGTGACCTGTCGCCTTAGCTCTCGAAGTATCACGGATGGATCCTATCCCTAATACCCGCCCCTTTTTCTTTGGGGCAACCTAAAAATTATTAAAAACATTAAGGTTAGAAATTTAATTTAAAATTAAAATTACATTAATTAAATATATTAATTGAATTTACCTCTTCGAAAATCTGGTCCATCTCCGCCACCATCAGCGCCAGGGTCGATTGGACCGAGCTACCTCCGGGAGACGTTGGACGCGCCTGCTGAGTCAGTTGCGTCTGCCGTTCCTCGATCGCCGCACAGGCGGTGTTGTAGATCTCCTCCACCCGAGGATCCGTGAATTCGCCGTTCCGCTTTTTATGCGTCTCGGCGAAAACCTTCGTCATCGGAGGAAGTTCTCCTCCGTTTTCTTCGACCTACAAAATCAAAATGAAAATATTTATAAGACAAATAAGGGTTAATTATTTAAAAACAAAAAAATTAATAATTTTAATTTACTTACCATCATAAGGCGTCTTCCGGCAAAAGGAATCTGGCCGGAAGTGTGCGGGACGTTCTTCCGATTTCCCGCATCGTCAGTAGCGTTCCTGAAAAATATTTTCATTAGAATATATTATAAAAATGAAAAC